GAGGAGGTGGATGGTGGAAGGAGAGCAGGTGGAGGGGAGTGAGAGGGAGGAGGGAAGGGAGAAAAAGGCCCAGAGCAGGAACACGCACTCTTCCCAGCAATCACAACTAGCTCTGTCTTCCTAAAAACTCCATCGCTGCTGGAATGGGCGTGGAGAAAGAACAGAGAATGCCTCATCAACAGCCCACCCTCAGACAAGACAAAGTTGATAAGGAATGCTGGATGAATGCTGCTATGCGTTGAAGAAGATGCAAGAGAGACGAGGATTGCCTGCAACACAAAAAGGCTTTCCTCTTTGAGCCCTTTTTAGTAGATGGACATAGTCGGAGATTTTCAGTGCTAGTGTTATTCGAAGAACTTGTTTGATTTTCATTCCAGCTGTGAGGGATCACTGTTGGACGCAAAGCCACGTTCTGAAAGATTGTGTTGGAAAGGTTCGTCGCCTGACCGACCTATTTCACATCATGAACAAGAACATTCTTTTGTTTCAAATGAGCAACTAAAGCTGGAAAGTCCTTGAAAAATGAATGAGGTCTCTCAGTCTCTTCTGGTCTATGAGTGTATTTGGTTCCAGTCCGAAGTTTAATCACAAATCGTTTCATTTGTTTCAATGTTGTGAAGAGTGGCAGATGATTTTCTCATGGCCTGTACGTGATATGTAAGAAATGAATGTTTAGTCTGTGGGTACCTTTTATGTTCTTTGGAATGAAACAAAAGAAAAGCACTGGAAAATCATTTTGATCTCCTCCACCTCCTCCTCCTCCGCCTCCTCCTCCTCGACTACCATCCTTGTCTCGTCCTCGCCCACGTGTATTCTCCCCCTCTCTCCTGTTTGTATCATCTTGTCGGTCTCCCTTACTCTTCTCTGAAATGAGAATGCACAGAAAATATGATTAATGTTTTAGACCATTTCTCAAATAAACTCTTGTAAGATATCTGTCATCATCGGATGTTCTATGTTTAAGTGCCTCCGCTTGGCTAAACAAAATTAAAAACATGGATTCCTGAGGGATGAGAGTAGATGAACCAGGACTTGGTTGTGTGGTTTTCAAGACAGGCAAAACAAGTGTAAAGAATTATAATGCTATGTTTAGCCATGCTGGCAGGATATGCACGGCAGTGACCAGCATGCCACAAGCAGTCAGCGAATAATAATCAAACCTAATAGGAGAACATAATACATCTAAACATTTGCAAGCCAATTATTTCTAGCCACATCAGTCGCTCAGTCTACCACTTCTGCAATCTGGACAGGATCTGGACTGAAATATTAAAGCAACTGTTGGATCAATTGGCATGCAAGTTTGTACAGACATTCATGGCCCTCATTCATGACCCCAGAGGTGTGAATCCTACTCATTCTGGTGATCCTCTGGTTTTCCATGAGGTTCACATTTTTGCTTTTGAGTGAAATAGACATTCCCAATCGTCTCTGATGTACTTTGTGTTTAGTACTAACTGCAGAAGGTCACCGTGCTGACAAGGCAGATTAATGTGGTGAACATATTTAACCTTATGACTGCTAAACATCAGCATGGTAGCTTTGTCACAGTGAGCATGTTAGCATGCCGACATTAGTATTTAACTCAAAACACCACTGTATAGCCTCATGGAGCCACTAGCATGACTGTAAAATCTTAGTCTTGCTAATTTCTATTTCAATTTCAAAAACTACTCACTTCCTTGTCTGACTAAACCCACTCCTCCTCTCTCTTGGTACTTTTGCGTAAGGATTCACACCTGCTGCACATTTAAAAGTATAATTGCTCTCTAAATACAAACATCCATCACAGTCTTGTTCTCAAACTCAAACCACAAAAATACCACATTTAGGAGAGTAAAGAGCTTAGCTCTGCTGCTGATTTAAAATGCAACACATGCATAGACTATAAGAGCACTCAGGACAGTCAAGTGACACAATTTTCTGTCACATAAATCACTTTAAAATCACTCCTGGCATAATGAGTTGATTATCATCAAGGGCCCAATAATGGCCCATAAGGATGTGAAGAGCTGTCGCAAAGTGGAAATGGACATTGTGTCTAGTGTCAGATGGCCATTGTTTAGGCAGCACTCAAAAGTATTCGGTTTTGTATATCTGAGGGAGTGTAGTTACGCTGGAGAATGTTTGTTATGAACTTGTGCATTGAGAGTCTCTGCACATCCTGGAAACTGAGTGAACACATGCCAATGGCTGGACAGTGTTCACTACACAGTTGACAACAGCAAGGCTTATGGCGCCACCATGTTTGTCTGCTGCTGTGCAGTAATACTGTAACTGTAGGTCTGTGTTTACTTCCCTCCCAGCGTTTTTAAACTTGCCGTACAAACAGTTATGATTTTTTGGTTTAAGTGCAAAGTGAAAAACTTAAAGTCCAAAGGTACAATTTCTCTCAGATTTCACCAAAAACATGTTTCCACACCAGCCAGTAAAAATGATTATACGGTGATGAATTGGAGTCAATGTAGTTGAATGTGGATAGACCTAACACAAAAACATTTACTGACCGCAGACCCATGCAGAGTCACAATTGCTTTACTCTCAGCTGAAAAATAAAGGGCTCAGTCCCACACAGTAGTACACAAAAAGGAACAACTCTTTTTTTTTCAAGCTATTACTGTCAAAATCATTTGGCGAGTTGGCTCAAATCCTGTAGGACGATCCTATGTCTGTTCATCATTTATGTGTTGTCTTGAATCAATAAACATATGTCTGAGCTTTTATGAACACTATTAAAAGAGCACTTAAAATTACAATAATAGTTGCAATTTATATCAATGAGGCACCATGAACGAGAGTGAAGTAAAGGGTCCTCACATGCTCTGCAGCATCTGAGCTGATGTGTTTACTGTGTAAGGACTTAATTACTTCTCTAACAAATCACTAATGGAGCCAAGAGAGGGGGACTCCATCAGTTTATGACAGCCCTGATTGTACCTCCTCTCCATCCAAGCTAAACAATTTTGCCTGACAAATGCAATAACACATCCAGAAAATTCTGTTTTCGCGTGAGACTCTTTTGTAGAGCTGCAGGAAAAGGGGGGAAAATTTGCAGCCAAATCAACACAAAGCGTGAGATCTGCAGACCACTAAATCACTAATGTTATACAAGGTCTGCCCCCGGTGTTTTATATAGCCACAATCTGCCAGCCAACTCTGACAGATGAATCGTCAGCTGCGCTCTTTTTATACCGAGTTTACCCACATGAACTGGTTCATCAAATTCATGGTACCATCACCCATGAATTACCTCACAGAGGAAAATTCATGCCGGTGCATTTTTGGCAGTAGTACAGTATGTATCTTATTTTCATACAAATGTATTTAGCAGCAGAATAGAGGAAAAACTGGACTAAAAATCTTAACATAAACAGTCGACCATTTCACAATCCACTCATCAGCTCATATCTCACGTCATCCTTGTCTTTCGGATATGACCTACCTGTCCTCCATGTTTTGGCAGTCTACATATCAGTTTTTATTGGGAAGTTTATAATATTTCACAGTTAATTATTCTTCGGAAACCCAAGGCTGAGATTCATTCCAGGATTCAGGCGTCAGAGAGAGTACATTTTCTTCTCATTTCTCAAATGACGCTGTCACAGCCTGTCCAACAAAGAGCCCACTCCTCACTGAGCAATAACAAGCCTCCTTCCCTCTAGACATGACCACAGATCTATATGGGACAATGTCAGATCATGTTCTGTTCTTTTGACTCATAGCCCTGAAGGAACTGTTCCAGAGTAGAGGATAGTGCTTGAATATGCAAGCCTCCTCCATGTTTACCCACATATATCCAGGCACATCATCTGTTACATGTTGCAACATCTGTACACTTGCCAATACCGTGCAAATATTGTTACACAATGTTGCCTGCTCCCCTAAGCGTGCCACCGTCCAATAATGGCTTTAAATACTGCTCATTTACAGTTCTCTAAGTCCTTGTAAATAAGTACGTTTCCAACTTTGGCACATAATGCCAAACAGATTATTATATGGTGACATTTAAACACAAAGACATGCTGTGGACTTGCTAATGACTCTCTCATATTAATTCCTTTGCAGATCAGGAGAACAAATGCTATAGTTCAAATTACCTGCTTAACAACAGCAAAAAGATTTGTCATCCAAGCAACATTGATGGTAAATATTTTATTTATTTGCCTTACGACCAAGGACAAAATGTTTAAAGCAAATAAGTGGGATCATTAGGGTTTATGCTGCACTTTTCATCCAATAAACTCTGCAAGATTTGTCATTTATTAGCCTTAGCTGAAGAGCGACTAACAATCTGTTAAGAAAGTTGATAATGGCCATTGACTGGTGAGAATGGCTGTTAACCTGCTGGAGAGCAAGATGCTGGGTGGATGATAAGAGCCCAAGCAAACATGTCATGGACGTGTAAACCTCACGCTTCAACGGTCTTCAGAACAAATAGCTCTTTCTAGCTCTGATCCTTGTCCAGCTTTGCAGTGCGTAATGCCCGCCCTTCATCTGCTTGGCTCACTGATGGAGTTTATTGTTTACATGCTGAGAAGTCAAGAGATTCTGTATCCTTCTGTGAGCTCAGCCAAACCAAACCCAATCAACACGCTGCGGGTCACAGACACACTGGCAGGAATACAGGCTGTCGGATGTTGAGTAATGGTTCCATCAGTCATCATAATAACTGGTGGAGGCATTTCATGAAGCACATGGATTTTATTGCTTGTTCATCTGTAATCTGCGTACTATTATCTGATTATAATATTATTTTATTTTGAATCAGAAGTATATGCATGTAATTTTCTCCTCAGTGTATGTGTTTTCTGTACATTATGTGTATTTTTGTTTACCTCTAACACAGGGCGTCTTGGTCACAATGCACTTCCTTCTCTCTGTCTGTGGAACACAGGTCTGTGAGGGTACAAAGGCCGGGGAGGTGTCTGGACTGTGGACCTGCGGAAGAGGCACACGAACCCGAGACTGCGAGCCTTTCTTAAATCCACATGTTTTGTTCTTCTTCATGCAGGAACCCCATTGGCTCCACTCGGCCAGTTCGCACTCTGCAGTACGCTGACCTGGGTTAAAAAAAAACATGACAAAGATTGAGCTAGTGAGTGAATTGTCCACAGCTCCAACATCTCACATTTGTTTCACAGCCTTCCTGTCTGCTTTTTACAGCTCAGCAGTTTTAGCTCAGAATAATGAGTTTAAGTGATTTCCAAATCTGAAAGCAATTTTATCTTTTTTGTTTTTTGACTAGTGAGGGACAGATGGAGAAGGTTGCAAAGACCTGCAAATATACCAAAGCGTATTGGTATTAACTATGCTGTGGTCACAGCAAAGGCAAGTTTTCAGGGTCATGTTAGTGTAGTCTTGGTGAACCAGCAGGGTCAAGTTAGCAACAACAACTGGTGCAAAAAAAGTCAGATCAAGGCTCCAAGTATTTGTCACACTGAGCCAAGATGCTTGTGTTTCACTGTTAATGCTGTCGTTTCTAACCTATTAAAGAATTATTTTCAACAACAAAAAAAGAAGAAACGAAAAAGAACAAAAAGTAAAGATGAAGAGATCTTGTGATTTTTTTTTTTCAAGAATTCACTGCCTCTTTTCCAGGCCAGACGATTGAGCATAGTTGGCTGCTCAGATGAAGTGATAATAAAAGTTGAGTCGACATGTGGCTCACACCTATGGGCTGTTTCTGTAAGTAAAACACACTTAAATAATACTTTCTGGTTAATTACAGGAGCTGTAAGACATGGTATGGCTTTGATATTAGTAAACAGTTAAGGTTAAAGATTAAGGGTCACTCACCGACACACTCCATTGTGTCATTGGCGGTGCGCTGGTCTGGAGGGCAGCTGACATAACATCGCCCACTGTGTGAATACAAGCCCTCCTTACATTTTGTGCAAAAATTGCGATTGAAACACGCTTCACAATTGTCTATTTTACATTCTGAAAGACAAAAAGAGAGGATCAAATGAAAGTATCAAATCAGTTCAAGTCACATTGAGTCTGGTGAGTGTTTATTTTATTGACTTCAAAGTTGTGTCAAGGACACAACTTTCTAGAAAATTTGTAGTGGAAACACAAAAATCTCTAGTGAAAAGACAGAAATTTCTACTCTTTTAATGGAATATTCATTGGATGTTTTGGCTGAAAAGAGCTAAGGGTTCTCCAGAGAGAGGACAAGAGGAACTTGAATTTTATTTCCTCTTAGAGATTTATTAGTGATTAAACAACACAGGGTCTATTTAGGGGGAGTAGCACTCTTTTCTTAAAAACACATGTACCACAGGCTTTGTTTTTTTGGAATGGGTGGAATATGGGCCTGAATAAGTATAGCCAGGACTGTATGACTGGTCTTCTTAAGAGCAAGTTTCTCCACACCTCAGACTCTTTAAATTAAAAAATCATTAACTCCAAATTCGACAACAAACAACTTCTTGACATTTGGTTAATAACAAATACAGGAGGATGAAAACCAGACAACTTAAAAGACTCCAAAAAACTTGAAAGGCACTTTCATTTTTCTCAATAAAGACAGTGGAGAAAAGGGTGGAAATGTGGAAATGTTTGCTAATATTTTTATATAGGAAATATATTAATATCTAGACTCCCTGTATCTATGTGTACTAAATTTAAGAATGTCTACTCTGCATCTGGTCAAGATCGGAAATGTTCTAACACAGAATCCTCACTGGGATCTTAATGTTCTTGCCTCATGCTCCAAATTACTATTTTTAAGCCCCTGCCAGCTAAATTTGACAGTACTGACGTTTGTAGTCCTATAATGTAAGACAAATGTTGCTAATAAGACATTCTGGGATGACATGTATAAAGTCAGATGATTGGATAATAACCCAGGTTAGCCACGAAGGGCCTCAGAAAAGAATTTGTAGGAATTTTTTTTGCCTTTTCTGCAACAAACCAGGACAATGAAAGAATGCTGCAACACATGTGGTTGAATTTGTTGCAAATTAACTAACATTTTGATAAAAATATCAAAATCTTCCAATTGAATAATTTGCACTGATCCAACAAACCTCACAAGTAAAATAATATATACTGTTAATTTAAAATATGATACAGATTGTGTTGTCTACCTCGCAGTGTAAGGGCTGTAAAACACAGGGCTCAAACAAAAAAGTCTAGAATGAAAATGAAAGCTCCTGTTCTAGATTAAATCTAAAATCTAAAAATCAGAAAATATTGCATCAGCATAACCAGAGTTGTGAGTTTTATCTGCTTTGGGGTTATGCAAACTTGAGAGAAAACATTATTTAGCACATCTGACACATGTGAAAAACATCTTAAAAGAGTAAAATAGGCTGCATATTTCTTCCTGTGGCAGAAAATCACTACAGGCTGTGAGCACTGCAGTTGCCCACCAAACATCTACACCTACAACTAACTTGAAGCCATGAATGTCATTGAATGGCATTAAACTTGAGGTAACAATTTGAGTTAATTACTGAGGTAATAAATGTTTTACTATGCAAAGAATAATCAATAGTAATTTTAGACCTGCTCACATTAAAATATACTATAAGAGACTATATATGTATATATGTACTGTATATGATACAGTTAGTAAGGTTGTATCAGAATAAGAATATGTGTAAAAGTGGAAGCATAACAAACATGGATTGTGGCCTGGCATGAACCCTGCAAATGAGGGCCAAATAAAAAAACACAGACATCCTCTCACAAAAACAGACAAACAACAATGCATTAGAATTGTTTTTGTTGGGATTCTGTTCCAATCCTGTTTTCTGCCCACACGTAAGGGGAAACAGACAACAGACAGAGGTGCTGGCGCTCCTCAGCCAAAAGTACGGGACTGGTGCCACCAGAACCAACTAAGTAAGTAAGTTTGGTAAATACCGTGAGTGTGGCCACCCTTTCACCCACCTTCCAAATGAGCCAAACCTGCCTGTAACCATAATGAAGAACAGTTCAATTAAAAAATTCTACTGACTTTCCTCCAGTTCAGCAAATACTTTCCTGGATTCGGTGGCTATTTTTGTGCCCTTTTCCACAGGGATAAATAGCAACAACATAAGGATTTCATCAAGTGGTCACTTATATTTACTTATTATTGGGCACTTGCATCTGGTTAGTGTGCATTTAATAATAAGGGGTACATCTTATTCACTCACAAACATGAAAAATAAGAGCACATATTATTAAAAAAGGTTGAGGCAGTATGAAATTACATAGGAGAATAAAGGATATGGCAAATTGGTAATTACTGATTAAGGTTTGATCCCTATTATCTGCATTATTATTTTAGGTCTTCATCAAACAAACCAAGCGGTGCAGCAATGTGGAAATATATAGAAAAGATACACAAGACAAAGAAACTAGCAGGATATCCCTTTGCTCCTCAAAATACCCCCACATTGTACATAAACAGGAGATGATGAGCCAGAGATAAACAGATCGTTTACACTTCTACAGGCTTGATTTGACATCAGCTGTGTGGATTATTAAAGACTGGGCTCTTGCCAACAAGTTAGCTCGAGCCTGAATGTATTTGGAAGATTCCAGATGTGTATCTACAAATCTAATGTGCCCACTGAGTCTACAGCACAAAGCAAAACTCACGGGTGCATCTGTTGTTGCCTTCTGGGTTCCTCATGCCAAAGTATCCCATGGGGCAGGAGGCGAGGCACACGCCTATCTGGCGGATGTCATTGCGCTCCAGGAAGATGAAGAGCTTGGGCTTACATTTAATGCAGCCATTAAACTCAGAGCATCGCTCACAGCCTTTGGGGCAAGATGGTGGCCCCTCTGTACTAACTGTGGAAACAGAGAGAAAAGGACCAGGTTGGGTCAGGTTGAGGTAGTTGAGGTAACAGAACAGCAAAGTGTACCTTCACATAACAAGATGCATTGTTTCCCGAAAGATATTCATTTAAATGAGGAAATAAAAAGTTCAAAATTCTGCTGATGAGAAAAACATCAGGGAACTTTAATATTTTACTGCCATCTCCACAGATCCAGCCATACACCTTCCAGCACTTCACTATCACTTCAACAAGGGTTAATGCTTGGAGCATAATCTAACCAGGGCCAAGGCCAAACATCTTTGTTTGCACAGTTACTCACTGTTTACTTCAAACTGCTTGCCGGAGATCCTTAACAGATTTTCATTTGGAGAAACCCGGGTAATTTGGGTTGACAGCCGACCAAGAGCCAGTCAAAATCAGTCAACTAACATCACACAGGGCCTTCAACTGGGGTCAGACCGAGAATTGAATACTGCCAGTGATTTTCAACAGTAAGTCTAGCATGCACAGACTTCACTTCCCTGTAATCCCAGACTCAGACATTAATCTAATTTCCTCATCTTCCAAAAAGGAAAAGGCACACAAGTACTAATCTAAATAATTTCTAGAAAATTGTGTCAGAGTGCACATCCTTTTTCTGGGAGGCATTCAGAGACAAAACCAGTCATTGGAGTTGATTTACAGTCCTGTACTGTATCAGCTCTAAACATGCATTCTCTCACATAGCAATCCATCTACCGTCCTGCCTCTCAGAGATAAGTTGGATGGTAAAAATGTTAAAAGGGTTCACCCATGAACATATTACACCATGTGTAAGTCACAGTAACCTCAAATGCAACAATTACAGCCAGGTCTTATTGCCCACTATCACTAATGATGGGAAAAAAAGCAATAATGGCCCTGAGGTGTAATCTTAACAGAGGGTAGTGTGTGAATTTGAGAATGTGGTGGTGTAAACTGTTTCTGGGTGACGTGGTGGATTGAAAATGAAAGAGTTTGTGCTGTCTGAAGCATGACGAACAACATGAGCTTCTCTCCTCTATAATGGTTCATTCATAGGTGGACCAAAGAAAGCAGAAGAAAGTTAGTCCCTCTGTCGTTAGCTTCTTGCCTAACAAGAGGTTTAATCTGCAGACCCCTTCCATATCTGGAGGGCAAAAGCCTCAACTGACTGTGATGCTGTAGAGGGCGCTCATGTATATGGTGAGTGACTTCAATCCATCTGTCTTCATTACAATGGCACATGCGTTTAAGGTCATTGTGCATGTATATGTGAGAGTATATATTGTAGCAAGCGCAAATTTGCGCTAGCTACAACCACGTACGCACATGCACCCACGCACCCATGCATTCTCACACACACACACTTGACCTTAATGCCAAATTTTCAGCCTCTAAGGGTGAAAACTATCGCTGCCAAAGGGTGGGGAAATCTTTGTGGACCAACCAACTGACCAACCGACTGACAGACAGACCAAGCTAGAGCTGCTGGTCGCAGCTAAAAACTATTCTATTTTTATGACACAAACAACAGTCACAAATAGTTCTTCATTACCAGTGTGTGATTTCAATAACACCACATCTGTTACTGTGGCCAGTCATGGTATTATATGAATTCTGGTTCACAGAGGTTGGGGTTGAGGCTGGCATTGGCTGAAAGCTCCTTGTGTGTAAAGGAAGAATTATTTCAAAGCTGACAGTAACACCAGCACTGAGGCTCAGAGGCCAGAGATATACTGCAAGTCAGCCTGAGCACCATCTTTGTGGTTGCGTGAGGTCAGAAAAATGCTTACAACAACACCGGCAGCACGGTCCAATTGAGAGCTTAGAACTGTCAGGTACTCATTCCATTATGTGCCCACAGAGCCAGACACAAAAAGAGTGATGGCTTTGAGGGCGAATCCAACAAAACCCCTTCTATAAACAATCCTAATACCCATAAAAGTTTTACATAAACTTAGAGAGACATAATCTTAAAAGGAGGAAGAAAGAAGAGCCATTCAGGGGAAACACTGAACCTAACATAACCCGCCTAGGAAAAACAAATAAGAATGATGAGAAAATAAACAAAATGTTATCTTTACTTTGCTTGTTAAATGTTTATAAGACACCACTGTGACTCAGACCACAGAAACGAAAGACAGCATCGCTGAAGAAAAAGGAAAAAAAGAGTTAAAAACAAGCTGAGAAAGAGAGAATTTACCCCGTCTCTGCCTTCTCGCCTTGGAGAGCTTAAGAGCATCGCCGTGACCCATGGAGCTGAGGAAGACCATTGCCAGCGCCACCAGTCCCAGCTGCATAGTCCCTGTTGCCTTACTGGCCACGCAGGGTCCCCCCCTGCGACCAGATGGATAAGGTGGGGGGGGGGCCCTTCCTCTGTATGACAGGTGAATCCCTCTGCTGCTGGGAGAGATGATCCCTCCTCTCTCCTGTGGCACTGCTCTCTTTCTCTGTCTGTCTCTCCCTTTCCCCCCCTCTGTCTCTCTGTATCTTTCACTCTAGTGGCTGCTGCGTCCGCAAGTCTGTGTAGTGGAGGGTGATGCTGTGGTTGCAAGTCCAAACAAGCCTGAGGCACAACAAGCCATCACGCTGGTGATAGTACTGGCAAGGGAGTGGACAGAGTAGGGTTGTAGGATGGACAGGGGAGGGGGAGGTTGAGGGGTTTGAGCGAAGGATAAAGAGGAGGAGAGAATGGAGAGGAGATTGTCGAACTTCTGGTGGCTCAACCCATGAAGCTTGGGGTGATTATGGCAGGGAAGCAGGGGACCCGCTGTTTGAAGAGGGTTTGCTATGACTGAGTGCCTGAGGTCGTGGGCATGTATCTTATTAAAGATGCTCTAAGGAGGCACTAAAATAAGGGGAAGGAAAGATTGAATTTAGATGGATGCTGGTTCTTGAATATGTGCGACAACGCATCTGCTTGTACCAGGACCTGCTGAGAAAAAAAGGATGCAGAGAAGACATAAATTTGGGGAGTGGGTTAAGGAGAAGAGTTATTAACAGGAAACTTTAAAGAAATAGATATTTTGGGTAATTATTACCTTACCTACCTTATTAAGCCTTATTTGCTTTCTTGCTGAGAGTTAGATGAGAAGCTCAATACCTACATAAAGCTACAAGCAGCTGATTAGCTTAGCTTAGCATAAAGACTAAGACTTTTTCCTAAGTTTTTGTACAGCTTTAGCCTTGAATGTGCTGGTAGGCAAATTTTGTTATCTTTACCTCCTGTCTTTAAGGTAAGCTAAGCTAACCCGCTGCTGGATGTGGCTTTATATTTATTGTATAGATACTGTATAAGAGTAGTAACAATCTTCTCAGGTAACTCTCAGCAAGAAAGAGAATATGTCTTTTTACCAAAATGTCAAACTATTCCTTTAATCTGTTATTTCACTAGTAACAGAATAATATCAGTGTGCTATCAACACATTTATATACTCAAACCTGCAACATTAAATTTTAACCCAATGCATCAATTATATATTATTTGCCTAAACTGCATTTATTCAAGAGTTATACATATTATACATACAGAAATCTCTGTAATGTAAAGAACTAAACTCAAGAATGTCTAACTCAAATGGTCAGTCATGGAACAAGGAAGCTAAAAAGCACAAACACGTCAGAGTATTTTAAGCTGTTTTTGGACTTGATGATGAACTGAGCATCTTTATCCCTTTAAAAAAATACAGTGAATTCAACTCTCTATGGGAAATGCAACACACACTCGCACTGAAGGCCTTTTTCATATTTGGTGCTGAGATCTTTTTTAGATAGTGTCATACGCTGCCTGTATTTACAGCTCTTGTGTGAAGAGGACACACAGAACATGTTAGGATCTGAGCAATGGGAGGTCCTCCCTCGCAGCTCAATAAAGGATAACAGGACCATATTTGGCTGTTGAGTTAGTTGTGGCTCTGAATCACACTAAGGACAATGCCATTTGGTGCGTCTAAACATTCCTGCAGGCAACATTAAATTATTTGTTGCAGTATAAATCAAAAAGGACAAAATCATTTCAGATTTCACGATATTAGCCAGACTGACCCCAAACATTTTGAGGATCCAGAATAGGAGTTATCCGTGATGCCAGAAATAACAATTAAATACAATCTTTAAAATAATTCTAAAAAATCACATCCATTTTTCATTGTACTTTTGATGCAAACAAGCACAAATAAATGTAGATTGATTTGCAGTCCCCATGATAATGACACCTTGTTTTGTGAGAAGCTGTACACTATTTCAGCGCTAAATTGAAGGAAAACAATCTCTACAATTGTGAAACATTAACTTGATGTGATTAATTTTTTAAGCTAAATGGCGTTTCGTAGAACTGTTAAGTTGAGGCATCTGTTGAAGCCTGCTGGTGCTGAATGAGTCAGTATAATAACACAAACACACATGCGATACAGAATTTCTCACTCATTTTCAGAAAAAAATAAGTTCCTTTTCCAATCATAACAATTCCATCGCATTTCTCCACACCTAAGAGAGGACAGGGGTACTTGTATCCTCTCCTAATTGGGAAACACTACAGACTCTCTTCCCCACGAGTAAGTTTATTTACTTCTTAACACTTAATGACTCACGATGTCACTGACACCTCCCAGCTAAAGTCATATTTACAGGATAGAGCCAAAAAAGTGGCGCAGCCAGTCATATGTAGCACCTGTTGGTTACTTGAGAGAGTGATGATTGGAGAGTAGGACATGCTAAGTCTCTGGATCACTCAGAACACAACCTTTCCAGAACTGAGTAATTCAAGACATGTGCCAGAGACTCTTTCATAACCCAGCACTCCCACGACTCTGTGCAACCTGCCAAAAGCCCACCTCAGCCCATCCATATCTGCTCTCACACAGCATGGAGATAAGAGACAGGATTGGGCTGTTAACTGAGAAAACTAATTGTTGTGGTCTTAGCCCGTCTACATTGCAAGGCCCTTTTTTAACATGCCACATCACAGTCATCTCACCAGGCAACTGTGGCACCTGCGTGTTTTGAAAGTTTTCTGTCTCTGCTCCCTCATCCATTTAACTGAGTGCCTTTCCTCGCCATCAGCCACATTCAGCTGAGCCCAGTGAAACTAAGCCCCTCTCATCAAATAGTCAGGAGATTAAATTGCCCTCTTTTGTAAGTCCTAAGTTTGATTTATCAATTATTCAAGCACTGAAAGGGAGCTCCCACACTGGGAATTTATTGAACTCGAGAAGGTGCCACAACTCTGAGCTCAGAGTTACAAATGCAACCTGTCGATGAACTTTGTGCCTGTGACTGAACCTACTGGCTTTGTGGCAAAATGTCTCAATCACACACAAACTAAGTCTGTTATGGGAGGAAAGTAACTGGCATTGCAATGCGCAAAGGGGGAAGAAGGCAAGAGAGAAGGCAAAGAAAGGATAAAAAATGGCACAACCTTCAGAGATTTCATTGTATGTGTAAAAAGCAAAACATCTTCTCCTCCTCACATGGGAATTACCAAAATGTTACAGCCAACATATCCCTGTTCATCTGGCCCCACACTGACCTCAAAATAAAATTGTTTTTAAGTTGCATCTGCAACATGGACTCCAAAAGTAGACTTAGCGGTAAATTCTGGCTTTTAAATTAGCACATTTTGCGGCCAAAAATTGGCTGCTCGTGTGCAACAAACAAAATAACAGGAATTTGTGGGTAATTTCACCCACTCATAGTGACCATTCATTTTCAATTAATTTTGATTTGTGAAATCCTTTATTTGTATATCCAAGCCATAAGTTCTAGCGGTACGAGCCAACTTAGCCCATAATAAAAACAGAAAGAGAAAAAGAAAACAGAAATGATGCAACAGAAAAGGAAGAAGGAATAGGGTAATGAGGTGCTGACTGAGGCTTTTGTAAGAAAAACATAGCCAGAGTCATCATCATCCTTATGCATGCACCCATGCTCTCAACACCTTTTAATCTAAATCTGTAGATGATAAGTAGCCTGTCCAGTTTAGCGATCTGCAGAGTGTAGTGAAACACCTGGCTGCACCATCAGCACCCCCAGAAGCCTCAACCATTTTAGTAATCATTTCCTCTGCTCTGCAGTTTAAAGAGTTTGGGCAATGAAAGGTCAAATGTGCAGTTTAAACACACACACCCAACACTCAGAGTTGAGAGGGACTTCGTCGGCTTCAAATCAAACCACCACCAGACTCTCTTTGAGTTTTTTTTTCATGTAGGACTAAAGGCTGCACAGCTCCAGCAGTCAGAGGTTGGATCTTGTGCAGCTCAGTTGAGCACGGTTCAGCTTTGTCTCGCAGGCTTGCACACCATGCTGGATTACAGCTGTATGCATTGCACTGCTCTTCAGGGAGAAGGAAAATCAGATGCAGATCACCACCTGCCCACAGTCCAGCATCTCTGCTGTCACGTCACTGTCCTGTTGTTTTTCTAAATCCCTCCCTGCCTGTCTCTTTAACTTTGTGTAGCTCCAGAGGATATGGAGCCAGTGTGTGTATGTTTGTGTGTGTGTGTGTGTATAAGTGTATAAGTGTAGTTTAGCCACTATGGAGAACTGTCAAAATGTGATGTGCCAAGATAAATTCTCAGTATTATTACACTAATTTAGTTAAATATTGATTAAGGTTGATAATGTATTTCAGGAAAAAGTTACATCAGCACTCATGATGGCTGATAATGTCAAGTTTAAATCAGGAAAAATGTTATAAATGGCAACATAAAATGTATTAGGATATTCATGCGCATACAAATAAATAAATAAAGAAATAATAATAATAATAATGAACATATTTAAACAAGAAAGTGTTCTATTTGTTTAGGGTACAATAAAGTAACCTTTACATAAACAAAGGTCTAGATTCGATATAACAAAGTTTATCCCCAAATTAAGATATTTATTCATGAGAAATCAAATAAAAGTCTAACCAAAGCTTTGAATTAGATAATCCGAAGAATAAAATGTAAAATAATTATAAACCCACCTGCACATCGGGGTTCCCGAATAATGCTGTTCATTGAGCGGTCCGGACTCAATTTCCTTTTTTATAAGGGAAAATCCGTTACTTGTTTGGTCACAAAGAACTCCTCCTACAGGATACCCCCATGCAACCTTTCTCTGTAATCATTTAAAAAGACATATGATTTCATTTTCTTTCACATCTGCCAGTCGAGGTAACTTCTCAACAGGCTGTGTAGAGGATGCACAAGAGAGAAATTGTGCAATGGATTCAAAATAAATTCCTCCAGTAAGAGAGTATATGGATAAAAAATATATATTCCGATGACATAAGTCACTCAGACTTTTTTATTTGGTCTTCTTAAGTCAGGACGCGTGTGTGCACTGAAGCTCCTGTCAGTTGCGCTTTTTAAATCCACTTTGGAGCGTCGAACTGCATCCAACTCAGGCAAGTAGAGTTACAAAGCCGTGATATTTGCATCCAAACCCCAGCACTGCCAGCGGGCATACAGGCCCCACCCCTCAAATTCTCACTGAGAGATGAAAAACCTGCGGTGGATTTATGTAAGTGTTGCTGTTAAACAAATAATATTTTGTGCAAATTTACATTTATTCCCTCATTTTATATGAGTTGATAAAGGTTGTTCTTTCTTTACTGAATTATAATGATGGGCCTTTATCCTGGTTAGAACGTAAATATAACACAAATAGAGCATAAAGTAAAGCCACTCCAAATGGATGCCTTAAAATGTCATGTCATGTTACCTAAGAGAAACACAGATGAGCTTCTAAATGACCTTCAGCACCTGTAAATGACCAGTTTCACCAGTTTCATCCCACTATGGTTCTATTGGTTTTATACAGCCTTTATTCAACCAGATAAAGCCCACAAAGCTTGAAAATGACTATGTGGCGATGGACGGGAAAGATCCAGGACAGAAAATTACTCACAGAAAAAAGACAGAGAATAATAGAAATTAAAATATAACA